AATTTGTTGGCCTATCGTTATTTTTTATTTGTGCTATCATTAGTAATTTCTTTATTTGTTCTTATTTTATTATTAACTGTTTAGCCTCCTTGTCATTTTTTTATTCAATTCAAAGTTTTAAATCAAGCTATCTCGTGCTACTGCAACAAAATTACCCAACTGTAAAATCAAAAATACACTGAGTGAGCAAAACTTTGTTTAATTACCATTATAACTAGCTATCTCACAATGTTTACATATGAATAAAAGCCTACATTAAAATCTGTCATATAAATTGGTCTTTTCATTAGAAATTAGCCTACTGATTGCCACCACTGATGGACAAATTTTTTTATAATATTAAATATATCTGTATGACAGTATATTCTGCAGTTCTTCCCTGTTGTACCGAATATCTATACTTTTCAAAGTATCATATCGAAGTTAGAAATTCAAATATTGTGACAGCCCAGTGTTTCCACAGTATTTGTTCCCTGGTGTCTTACACAGACCCTAAAAAGCGTTACATTGACCAGACGTTCCTCATTTCACATGCCTCATGCATGACCTTTGGTGACCTTGCCAATAAGTACTGCAGGGGAATCTGGAAGCTGATAGCCAGCTCTCACCAGAACCTGTTTGAGTTCTACTCTGACTGGATCATGTGGATCTTCGCTGATCTACCTTTCACATACGCTATCAGAGTGCTGGATGTCTATCTAATGGAGGGCTACAAAGCTTTATACCATGTAGCTCTTGCTCTACTCAGTCTTTACAAGGTCTCCGTGTCTTCATAAGTGGCCCACGTCGATGACTTCAGACAGGACATGAAGAATTTTGTGCAGAATGTGGGACGGCACAGTACTATTGACACTCTACTTCGGAGGGCTTTTAGAAGTTGCCCACACGCAAAGAGCTGACTTATCTCTTCAATGCCAACAAGGATGCACTAATTCATAAGGACATCCACAATAAGAGATGAGGAGTTTGTGAAGTCATGTTTTGTGTTCTCTGTAATTAATAATTAGTTATTTACAAAAATGTTCTGAATTCCTGTTATATATAAAACTGTATTTTTGATCTTGACAATAAAACTGCAACAAATATCTTTTTCCCCCCTAAGCTCATACCAAGCTATGGATTTTCGGGTCTTCAGCTCCTCTGTAGTGACTGAAACAGATGAGGGTGGTCTGGGCTTGGATTCCAGAGCGATTTGCTTTATTCAGTCCTGTGCAGCTATTCGCTACAAATGTTCATGGCAGAAGTCTGTCCTCGTAAGTTATTATAATTCTACAGATGCACACTTACAAGAATGATACTATCAATATACAGTAACCTCATAATTTAAAAATGTGAGTTAATTAACTAAAATTGTTGTTTTGGTTAAATGGTTAAAATATATTAAACATACATACAGTATAGATAATAGTAATTACTTATAAATCATTTTCAGCAGTTATTACTCCAGTCTTCAGTGTCACATGATCCTTCAGAAATCATTCGAATATGCTGATTTGGTGCTCAAGAAACATTTCTGATTATTATCACAGTTGAAAACAGATGTGCTGTTAATATTTTTGTGTAAACCATGATACACTTTTTTTCAAAATTCTTTGAAACAAAATAAAGTAAAAAATAAAAGCATTTATTAGAAACAGATTTTTGTAACAATGGAAACGTCTTTACTGTCACTTTTGACATGCACCCTTGCTGAATAAAAGTATTATTTTTTTTTTAAGTATTTAAAAAAACATCTTACTGATCCCAAACTTTTGAGCAATACATGTTTAAAATATTGTGCTTCATATTCAGAAATATAATTTATATATATATATATATATATAAAAGGGGCACAATCCTACTGTTTTACTGTTGAAAACTGCAGATGAGGAGGTATGTATGCATTATTTTTTGTATACAAAATCTTAGAGAAAATACTGAAATTGCAGTATTTTTGTTACATTTTGATTTGCTTATGCTTGGCCTCATGGCAACACAGATTTGTGGGGCTTTCTTGTCGTCTGATTGGGCTCAGAAGAATTGTGATGAAAAGGGATTTAAGTTCTTTGGCACAGGAGAGTGTTTTGTTTTCACTGTGAGTAAATCTACATTTGCCATCTGATTCAACTGATTTGTTGAGCTTTAAACTGCATGCTGCATTGTATGATATATGATGAGGTAAATAACAAATCAATTCATAATTTCATCAAATCAACTTTTCAGCTACGGCCAGGAATGGAACGGTATCAGCGTACAGTCCTGCAGATCTCTGGGATGTCTAGTTCTCTGATTAGCACTCATGTGGACCGACCCACTGGAGTCTCTCAGAATCAAAGATACGAGTCTGCATCATTCTGCACATTTTCAAACATCAAATTCATGGCAGGAGATGATGAGACACTTTTTATTGGTGAGCTGGTTTTGTTTATCATCTCAAAAGACATGAAAGTTTTCAGCATGTAATTCAGGCTCAGGTATCCCCTATTGTTATTATAAAAACATGGCACCCGTGCTGCCTCTCAGACTAATATTTGCATGCCCAATGCACATTTCACCTGCAAACATGCTGGAATGCTGCCTATGTGTCAACATTACTGGGAAAAACAGCCTCTTCCTTAATTTAGACTAAATGTTGTGCATACACTCCTTTACATATGGCTCTTTATGTGTGCTCTCTATTCTGCAGGTGGCGATGGTGGCCACGCGCTGCACCTGCAGGCTGACCTGTCAGCTGGCTGTTCTGAACACTGTGATATGTTTGAGAGTCCACCTCTCTGCAGGGGGATGCTTCAAGATCCAGTCTCTAGAGGTGTGGGGAATCCAGCTCTCTTTTATAAAAACATGGCACCCGTGCTGCCTCTCAGACTAATATCTGCATGCCCTGAATGCACATTTCACCTGCAAACATGCTGGAATGCTGCCTATGTGTCAACATTACTGGGAAAAACAGCCTCTTCCTTAATTTAGACTAAATGTTGTGCATACACTCCTTTACATATGGCTCTTTATGTGTGCTCTCTATTCTGCAGGTGGCGATGGTGGCCACGCGCTGCACCTGCAGGCTGACCTGTCAGCTGGCTGTTCTGAACACTGTGATATGTTTGAGAGTCCACCTCTCTGCAGGGGGATGCTTCAAGATCCAGTCTCTAGAGGTGTGGGGAATCCAGCTCTCTTTGTTTGTTCCACCACTGCTTTCACAGTGAAGACTGTGGAGGAAATGTGTTCACTGTCCACATATATCATTATTATTATTTGTTCTTTTTTTATTATTTTTATTTTTACATTTTGTATGTATATTTATGACTTGTTAGATTATTTTAATTTTGTTTGTACTCCAGTTGTTCACTGTATTTCTGGAATAAATAAAGTTTGTAAAGGCAGTATTCAAACAGCAGTTGATTGAATATTAATAAATAACATTAAAATAGAGAACTTTTACACCAGATGAAAAGGGATTTAAGTTCTTCGGCACAGGAGAGTGTTTTGTTTTCACTGTAAGTCTACATTTGCCATCTGATTCAATTGATTTGTTGAGCTTTAAACTGCATGCTGCATTGTATGCACCAGCATATGATTTGAGGTAAATAACAAATAAATTAATAATTTAATCAAATCAACTTTTCAGCTACGGCCAGGAATTGAACGGTATCAGCGTACAGTGCTGCAGATCATGGCGGTGGTAAATAAAGTGGACATGGAAAGCAAATATTTAAATAAAAGGTGAGTAAAATACTGAGGCTTGTTGCATGAAGTCAGTTACAATGGCTACCCAAGTAAGTCTGAGCAAACACTGGTTTTTCGGCAGGGGTGGTTAACTGGCCCTCAAGGTCCACAGTTCTGAAGATTTTTACTCCAACCAAAATCAAATACACTTGAAAAATCTAATCATAGTTTTCAGGTTTACTGAAATTACAGGCAGGTGTGTTTGATCAAGCTTGGAGCTAAACTCTGCAGAGCAGTGGTCCTCGGGGGCCAGAGTTGTTCACCCTTGCCATATCTTGCTCCAAATGAAAGCAGTTAAAGGTGCTATTTATGTATTTTATATAGGCTATTTAAGACATATTTTTGTATATTATGTCCTTAACACATTACACAAGCAATTATGGTTTATTAATATGAAACTTTTCATTTAAATATAAAAGCTTTAGAACATAAAAAGTTGTAAAAGGACTAATTTTACATGTTTTCATTTAAGATCTTTGTGAACATATACAAATTAAGTATTACGTAAAAAAATTAGCTTTTATTACTGACGGAAAAAAACAAACAAATAATGATCTATTAATCATCACGGTCTGTCATTGTTGATTTCAACTGATTTCAGTGCCTAAACTGGTTGTTATTACAGACAGCAGACCTTCCATCCAGTTGAGTAGCGTTTCTTTTCCCAGAGATGTATCCCTTACGAAAATTAACCAGGTATTTTTTTTTTTTATTACCATTTTTTATAACCACAGTTTTACTGCAAATACCATGGTTAAACTATGGTTAGTGTAGCAAAACCATATTAATCTGTGGATTAACTACCATGGTTTTTTTGTTTTATGTGTAGTAAAAACCATACATGTTCGTAAGAGATTCCCCTCCATTCGTCCATCCCTGTGATAATCATTTGACACTAACAGAATTTTCAAATTTATCTTTAAATCTGTCATGAAAACTTGCGTGCACTAGGTTTCGAACAGTACAACACAACAAAGCTGTTCCCTCAAAAACAGTGCAGTAGATACGGATAAGGCCTGTATAACAACAAAAATATTTAAAAGCTGTGCAAGAACTCCCGGGAAGACTTTTATATAACAGTTTATTTAAACAACTCATCTGATCCGACTGAACCAAATCAAATCGTTAAACAGTTCAAATGAATCGATTCAGTTAAATGAACTCTCCAACGCTACCAAGCAACGAGTCCAAACACAGCGTGCTTCTGTTGCTTGGATACATATACAGTCTATGGTTTGGCTCCAGAAGCCAGCAGCCTTTTCTGCGCATTTCTGCTCTTAGCTGAAAGTTGTATCAAAATGGCAGAAGACGCGCAAGAAGTCCCTCAACTCGCATTAGAAGCTGTTATTGGTTTTAATGGTAAGGTAAACTGTGAAGCTTATCGCATTTTATTGTTTGATCTTTAAAATGTATGCAGTAACGTTACTCGCGGTATTTGCTTATATGGATGTAATTCAACGGTACCAAAGCATCTACATTGTTTATACAGGTCATGTGTTTTCTGGACTCAGAGTGCACCCAGACAAAGAACATCTCATTTATCCTCTTGGCTGCACTGTTATTATTAAGAGCCTGAGAAGTGGAAAACAAACTTTCCTCCATGGCCACACGAACAACATCTCTTGCATTTCTGTGTCCAAAAGTGGACACTATATTGCATCTGGACAGGTCACGTTCATGGGCTTTAAGGTGAGCTGGTGCAATAAAAGTGGAAAACGCTACTGACACGTAGCTTAATAGCTTTATTTTACTGGAATACAGTGCTCCCCTACTTTCTTGGAATGAGATGACCATTTCTCACTGCAGGCTGATGTTATTATCTGGGACTATGAGAAAAAGGAGATTTATGCCCGTCTTGTGCTACATAAAACTAGGGTTGAAGATCTCAGCTTCTCCCCAAATGATAAGTATCTGGTATCTTTGGGTGGACAGGAGGATGGCAGGTAAAGTCCTACTGCAGTGATCTTGAGTTGACATTTCTGATATTTCCCATATTTTGATGTTTCTTACCTCTAGTCTCTTAGCATTCATATTATATTATATTTTCTCTATATTTTGAAATCTAACTGTGCAATAGAAATTATTTCCCTAGCATGTTTGCTTCGTGGTTTTAGTATCGTAGTGTGGAACATTGAGAGTAAGGAGGCTATATGTGGCAGTCCTGCTTCAGCACAGAGTGCTGGTCACTGCCTCACGATCGAGTACACCAACCTGAGCGATGAAATCTTTGTCTCTGCTGGGAAGTAAGTCCAATTTTATGGTAGTCCATTTTGATCTAAAACAAACCTTTCATAGTAAAATGATTCACACTTAATCTCACATTAAATAATAAATATGAAGTCTCTTATGCTCCCCAAGGTTGCATTACAATACAGTAAATACAATAAAAACAAATGAAAAACTGTGATGGCAAAGCTGAAACATGTACAGTAGACCATACCATCTGTTGGAGGGCTTTTTGTGCATACAACAATCTCACTGGATTATAACAAGTAATGGTAAAATCAGTGTTTGAAAAAATTCAGATATTCAGAGTTCTACAATCACACCAAAACAAAAATATGTACTGTCCTGTAAATACCTGTCTTATATTTTCGGTGAAGACTCTAAAATGCCTTTTGCACAATAGTGAAATTTATGTAATATTTATATAATATAATACATGTATTTTAGAGTCAGAAATAAGTAGATAAATATATACTACAAATAGATGTAGTGTGTTTGAAATAAAGTGCTTATGACTTTCTGCAAATGTTAATTTAGTACGTTTTCATGGTGTTTTTTTCAAGTGGAACTCTGCGTGTGTGGGAGCTTGATTTGCCCAACAGAAAGATCAGGCCCACAGAATGTCAGACTGGACAGCTCAAGAGAATTGTCAAATGCCTGGAAGTGAGTAAGAATCACTGATTCTTCCGGTTCTGGTTCACTCATTTTTACCTGCTCATATTTTAGATGGATTTCAGAGTGTTTTGTATGTCTAAAACTGGTATATAGAACATGAATATATGTAAGTGTTTTCCCTGCCTTGCAGATCCCAAATGATGATAATTATTTCTACTGTGGAACTACTAGTGGAGATATTCTGAAAGTGAACCTAAAAACAAGATTGCTCAACAGCTGTGGTCCTGTTAAACAAAAATTCAGCAAGGTGAGTCCTCAGTTTTGATTTAACACAGTGAGCAGCTAAGAATGTCTTTTTTCGAAGTTGCATTTATGTCACGTGCATAATTTACATGATTTGAGAAAATGCACTTGTACATATGTGAATTGTTTTCAAAATGATGCACCGAAAGTTAATTATTTCTCTTTGCCTCATTTATGTTTTATTCATTTCAGCTATTATTTATTGCGCTACACAGTCCAAAGAACATGAGTTAACAGAGACACACAAAACAAGTTAAACAACAAGTTAAATTTTTTTTTTTTTTAACAGACCTTTTGGGTAAAATGTCATTTCGCATCACAAGCGCTTTTTCTTGTTATTGCAGGGAGTGAACGCTCTTAAAGTCTTGAAGACTGGAGATATTTTAGTTGGATCAGGAGATGGGATGTTGTCTTTGTGCTCAGGAGGGAATTTCAAAACCATTAAGTGTGTAACAACCCTTATTTCCTCTTCTTTCTTCTGTTTTTTTTTTTAATCTTTTGCTCTTTGTTTTCCTCCTTTGTTGTTTATTCTTTCTCTCTTCCTTCCTCTCATTCAGTGACTAATAATGGTTAACTAATCATTTGTAACAGGAGTGTTCAGTTGGAGGGAGGGGTGACATCAGTGACCCTGCGTGGGGACGGACAGCAGTTCTACGTCGGGACAGAAGCAGCACAGATCTACAATTTAGGCTACACTGACTTCAAACCAGAGCTTATTGCTACAAATCATAACAGTGCTGCAAAGGATGTGGCCTTTCCTTTGTGAGTGATACAACTTCAGTGCTTTGTGAGCACCTTCCTTCTGCCACTTGAGGGAGACATAAGCTTTATATCGGAGTCCTTAGTAAAACCCTTCATCTATTTGTGCAAATCCTCTCCCTTCAACTCTCTTTTACTCTCAACAGTGGGACGTCAGAGCTCTTTGCCACCTGTTCACAGAATGATATACGAGTGTGGCATGCTGAGTCCTCCAAGGAGCTTCTGCGTATCACGGTGCCCAACATAACATGCAACGCTCTGGGCTTTATGCAGGACGGCAGGAGCATCTTCAGTGGTCAGTCTCATACAAGATGATCTATTAATTGTATTATTATATTGATTATACTGTGTATATATATATATATATATATATATATATATATATAGGCTAATAATTCATAATGCCCACAGTATGGGAGTGACTGCCATAGCAGCGACCAATGACTGCAAGAGGATTGTCAGTGGAGGGGGAGAAGGACAGGTACAGCAAATCAGATGCACATCAAAAACTCACTTTTGAGAGCTGTGCTCCTGATTTAGAATAAACACTGTACATTACTGTACATTGTCCCACTTACCAAATATGTCATGATAAATATATGGTTGTGAAATATTGATTTGAGATTAAATTAATTTATTTGTTGAGAAAAAAAGCATGCAGCGTGATAAAAAAAACTAGCACAAATACATTATTGTTCAAAAGTTGGTGGTCAGTAGTTTTTTATGTACAGTACTTTTCAATACTTTTATTGAGCCAGAATGATTTAAATTTATTAAAAAAGTTACAGTAAAGACATTCATAATGATACAAAAGGTTTCCAATTCAAAGAAATATTTTTTAAATAATACGAAATGTTTCAGCATATTAGAATGATTTCTGAGGGATAATGTGACACTGAAGACTGGAGTAATGGAAAATTCTGCTTTGCCATCACGGGAATAAATGACCTTTTAAAATATATTCAAATTCTATTAAAAATTATAGAAAATTGTTATAATATGTCACAGTATTACTGTTTTTACTGTAAAAAAATCTTACTGTTTGTGATCAAATGCAGCTTTGGTGAGCATAAAATACGTCTTTTAAAAATATTTTTAAAAAGGTCTTTCAGAAACATTTGAACTGTAGCGTACTGAACATAAGAAATTAGTTGCCTTGGATAACAGTCAAATACACAGTTTAGCTTTCATTATACAACCATATTTGTCCACAGAATGGCACAGTTGGCCAGTCAGAATCAAATTTTACAGAGCCATGTAAAAAGTAGAGTTTTTTTTTTGTAGAATGCAGAATAAATGTATGCTTTGACATCTCTTTGTAATGAAGGTGAGAGTCTGGGAGATATTCCAGAACACATATCGGCTCATTGAGATCATGAAGGAGCACAAAGCTACAGTTAACTGCATTAAGATCAAGAGTAACGACAAGGAGTGTGTGACGGCCAGCTCTGATGGAGCTTGCATCATCTGGGACCTGGTGTAAGTTTGAAGAGCATCAAATCATAGATAATTAATGTAGACATACTGAGCGAAAGTTCTTGCCCACAAGTTCTTCCTCTGTGCACAAGCTTGTCATGTGTTAAAAAGTTAAATCAACCACCCTCACACGAACCAAACATTCAAAGTGCAGATTTGCTTTGTGGAAAAACATTCTGTTTGATGTAACCCTTCACCATATCTGTCTGTGTTCTTCTCATTTCCCATTCAGGAGGTTTGTGAGGAATCAAATGGTCTTGTCCAACACCCTGTTCAGTGCCGTATGTTACCACCCTGAGGAATTCCAGATCATCACCAGTGGCACTGACAGAAAGGTACAAGGCTAGACTGATCTAGACTGATGTACTGGCATGTGTTTGAGAAAAATGTGGCCAGAAAGAAAGAGTGACAGATAGGTGAGAGAGTAGACAGAAAGAAAAAAAAAACAGATAGATACTGTGTGCACAACAACAAGCTGACAGAAAGCTCTCCCAGTTTCCTGTGGACGTAATATGATCTGCTCAGTCTACTCCGTGCCAAATAGTCCATCTGCTAGTCTTAGGGCACAGCATCAGTGCCCATTTAAAGACCGCAGTTTATTAGCATACATGTGTGCTGCTGTGTATTAAACATATGTCCATCACACAGAAGCAGAGGAAAGAATGAGACCCTTAGAATCTGTAGGGGGAAAAAAAAGAGTAAAGATTTTAGAGCATGGAGCTCTTCTGTTTTATTTCAAGATCTTATATTTTTGGCAAGTAGCACAATTTATTATCAACAATGGTATTAAAGGAAAGGGTGCAACATTTTGATTAAAGAATTGCTGCAGTTGGACAAAGAACAAACCTGTTTGGTTTACATGTACCATCTAATAGCAGTAATTAATAATACTCCAGACTGTAGCCAAATAAACACAAATGTGAATCCATTGTTGTCCAGGAAAAGCAGCCAAATCCGGCACAGTAGGTACAGTACTTGAAAGGACACAATGCTGGGGTCACGCCAGATACCCAGTGCTGGCGCAAAGCCTGCTGGGAAAAAGCCATCTCAATGAGATGTTCCAGACCTGCTCTGTCTGCAGTTCAAACAGTGCTCAAACCTTTTAAAACTTGATAGAATTACTTTTTTTATTATTTGTTTTCAGAACAGTATCATAAGTATGAGGTTTGATACATTCTGATAGTATATTTTAATGAATGAAAATAACTTCTTTGTTTCTTTTTCTTTTTTTTATGAATAATCCAATTATCTAAAAAAGGGAAAGCCATGTCACATCAGTGAACATCTCCATTACTGCTAAAATGCAATCAGTGGTCACCACTCACCAGGAATTCGATTTATGTAATATCTGTTGTATACAGGTTCAGATGCAACAACCCAAGACCAAAAACAACTGAAGGCTTAGAGCCATTTGTTTTTTCTTATGTTGCACTATAACAAATTACATCTTGATATTTCTGTTGCGATTACATCAGTTCTTCGATGTAATGACCTGAGTGCATGCTGAGAAATTTAATTAACATGATTATGTATTTATTTATTTTTCCACCGTTAAAACTAAGATCTAGACCAGAATAGGACATTTGAAATGCAATCTTTACCTTTGAACAGATTGGCTACTGGGAGGTTTATGATGGTTCAGCAATAAGAGAACTCGAGGGCTCCTTGTTTGGAGCTATAAATGGCATGCACATTTCTGAGGACGGAAAATATTTTGTGACTGGTAGGTACCTTCGGTATCTTTTCACATACAGAGTTATTTCACTGAGTCATTCTTCTGTCATATGGCGGATGTAACAGAAACAACAGGTGGCACAATAAACAATATAAACAGAAGTATTTTTAACGGTACCGAAAAGTATAATTCGCAGTTGGATAAATGTCTGCTCACCAGGTCTAAATAAACACTTGCAGAATTCAAACTGATCCCGGCAGTTATTTTTAAATGAGTTTCACAGTTTGAGTTGATGAGGTGCTAATCTAACATTTCTGTTTTTAGTGCATATTCATGTTGCTTTCTGCACTTAATCTCTCTTTCAGGTGGAGATGACAAATTACTGAAGCTCTGGCACTATTCTGATGGTGAAGTGACCCATGTTGGCATCGGGCACAGTGGAAGCATCACAAATGTGAGGATCTGTCACAACAGCAGATATATTGTCAGTACCAGTGCCGATGGAGCTATCCTGAGGTGGAGATACCCACAAACCTCATAGAACCCTAAACAGTGAATAATGCATATAATGCAGTTCAGATATGATGATAGTTCAGATATACATTTGCACTGACTGTCTTTAACAAATAAATTAATTTTTGTTATAAAACTTACATTTGTCCTTTACTGAAGATTTAGGAACCAACAAAATTGATGTTACAATGTCTGTGAAATATCTAGGAGCAAATACATGTACAGTGTATGGTCCTTTGGATTTATTTAGTATATTTAAAATATAATATTACAAACTTCAGGAAAAACCCAGAAAAGACAAATGGTTCCCTTCCATTCCTTTTTCTTGCAAATAATTGTATTGAAAATTAGGTTATGAATTCTTGCGAGATTTAAAGGTACCATTAAACAGTCCAATTCCAGTCATTTAATTGAAATAAAGCAGCCTAGAGCCCCAGTTTCTGAGGACTTTTTGTGAACTGCGCTGTCAGCTAATATATCACCTGAGAAGCTCCAGAGAGCTGCCGGGGGAGGCTTGGAGAAGTACAGCACGGTGTGTGAACCCAGCATCTGGATGAGCCTGTCCCAAATTTCCTCTCACCTCAGAGGAACAGACTCAATAATGAATATCTTAACACCTAACAGTAAGGATATTCGGCCACATACATTTTCAGAAAAGTGGATGCTCTGCTTATTTTATTTGGTATGGCCTGCCCTGCACCACAGATGACAAAGATCAGACAATCCGATGACCTTGTTGTTGTTGGTTTAAAGACATACAGTAACAAAGTCAGTGGGCTATCCAATCAAAATTGATCTCAGTATTTACCTGTCTTGAAGGTAAGGTGTGTGCTAAAAAAAGATACCTATTGGAGGATAAACCTGCACAGGGTGTCTGATAAGACAAGAAACATGGAAGAGAGTGTAAATAAATAAATGTTGGTATTATACAGGTTAAATGAAGTCTGTAAAATTTTGTGCTGAGTTTACTCTTTATTGTTTTAATGGTCTCATTCTTCCTTGCTTAATAGGTGCATAATGAGTCTATAGTTGTGAAAATACATAAATATGACACTTGAATATGAATCATGAACAAACTTTTAAAAGAAAGCACACAAGGCAACAGTAGGGGGCCCCTAATTCTTTGCAAAAAGACACCACAATTGTGGCATAATTGTTTATGAACCTCAGAATATTTATCATAATCTATGCTTACACTAGCTCCCCAAGCAACCCTGCGATTTACAGGAAATAAATAAATTAAAATATAATATTTTATTACAATTTCTACCTGATAAAATGTTTTAGAGCTTGGCATAACTAGAAAACTGTATACTCTTAAAAATGCCATGGAGTTTTAGAATTACGAATTCTAAAGGTCTAGAAATCACATTTTTAAAATTAGGCTTTTTCAGGACAACAGGAAGGGAAAAAAAGTTGCTGAAAAGATATAGAAGAAATATTCTGGTATTAATGTAAGTTATTCATAAACTGATTATTAAAATATTCCGGTTTAGATAGACTCATTTGTACAAGTAACATGAACTACATATTGCATATTATCACACATATACTGTGTGCTATTGTGAAGGAGAATTATTGAGTTAATTAAAATACTGTCCAAACTGCAGCAAAATCGTTTGAAAGAGCAAGTTTTTTTTGTTTTTTTCAGATTATGTTGTTATGTGTTAACAGGAATATTCCAATAGCTTGTACCATATAAAATCTTTTAAAGAAGGCTTTATCTGAATGTGGACATTAATTAGAAAACAACGATAATTAAATACATAAAATATGCAATGTCTGTTTGTGTTTGGAGGGAAAATATTGGTGAGCAGCGATGAAGCAGGTAAATAGCTACAGGTGTAAATAAACTTGTTTGTGGATTATTCATTTCCACATGCATTTCTCCCAATACGTGTTCAAAGTAAACCAGGCTAATAAGATTCATAGTGGGAGGGTAGAAAGCCGTGTATCTACCATTCAGACGCACATACTCCAAGCAGAAGCCAGAAAAAGAGGGAGCGGGCGAAAAACGGCCAGTAATGGTCATCCACACACAAGTACACTGTAGGTGTGGTGTAGGGAACAAGAGTTGTGTCTGAGGCATGGAGTTAAGACTAGTGTAATTCCAGGTGCGTATAAGAGCGTCATGGATAAAGCGAAACTAGCGCAGCTGAGATCAGCGATAGGGAATGTCGTGGACGCGTTAGTCATCAGCAGCCTCGGTGCAGACACCGGCGCCTTTACAGTCTCGTTTTTCGTCGTCGTGATGGTTTAGTGATGTAGATGTTCGAGACGCACAGGCGGGAGCGCCGTGTCTTCACACATAGTGCACTTGTTTCTCTACTGACTTCCACTGATCGGTTTGGGTGAAACAACAGACTAAACATGGATACGCCGAGGGAAACCAGGAAACAAACAATCAAAGCCAAATCAGCCAAGCGCAAGAATAATACGCACAAGTCCCAAAAGCTGTTCAGAAGGAAATCGTTAAAATCGCTTGGAAATTTTATAAGCAGGATTGTCAAAACTTTGGGCACTTTGGCACACTTGGGGGACGCAGACCAGCCGGACGCTGCGGCGGAGGATGATGATGGTGGGTTTGGAGACACTCTGAGCGCCCACAACTCTGGGAATTACAGAGAGACCTCGGTGAGGAAGACCGCTGCGCCTTCATCTTCTTATGGATCTGTCAAAGAAAGACTGTCCTGGTGCTACGGCGAGAAAACTCCGGGAGTTCAGGGTCTGAAGAATCACGGAAACACCTGTTTCATGAACGCCGTGGTGCAGTGCTTGAGTAACACGGAACTTCTGGCAGAGTATTTGGGTCTGGAGCAGTATAAATGTGAATTAAATGAGCGGAGGATCAACGGGATGATGAGGAATGAGGAGGTCAGAGGGGAGGTGACGGAGAAGCTGGCATCGCTAGTGAGGGCGCTCTGGACGCTCGATTACACGCCTCAGCTGTCGGTGGAATTTAAGGTGAGTTTCGATCCATTTACAGAACACGAACGCCCCCCTTAAGCAAGTGTAGATAACTTCTTTGAAAGAACGTTTGCTTTTTTCCGTATAGAGTGGAATCGTTTTATTTGATTCAAACTGAAGCTAAGATCAACAGGTAGATTTGACGGAGAGACTGATTTAGAGAACCAGATAAAAGATTTTGTAAAACGATCCGAGTCAAATGAGCTATATCGCTAT